TTGCCGTGTCCTCTCGTCCGTCTTGTGTTCTAAGTTATAAAGTCATCTTTGTCTAACTTCACCCGTCTTGTAATTGGGATGAACATCATGTCACCTCTTTTTCTTCTTTCTTCCAAAGTAGTAAGACCTATTTTCTGTAGTCTTTCTTTGCAACTCATATCTCTTAGAGTAGGTGCCCATTTCGTAGCTACTCTTTGAACTCTTTCTAGTATATCGATATCCTTTTTTAAGTGTGGACTCCATACCACTGCACCATACTCAAGACTGGGTCTTATGATGGCTGTAATGATCTTTTCTTCGTCCAGGAGGGTTTCATAGTTTATGCCAACAAAGGAATCTTTAAGGCTTCTATAATTACCTCTCTTGTTATTGTACTTTCATTTTCTTTCCTTACTTACGATGAGTTTTTTCCTGTAGCAAACAGCATTTCAACTTAATTACTTTTTCCATCACTTTTTCACTACAGGAGGGTAGGACTCCATATCCTCAGTGTCATATTTATGCTTTGTAAATATTAGGTCAAGCATAGACGGTCTATCTAGCCCTCTTATCCTGGTATGAATTGTTGTATCCTGGAAGAGACAAAATTAATTTATGACTTCTAGTAATTTTGCATTTCATATCTCTCTTATCCAGGTTTTCTTATATTCTTCGTGTGTAGCCAGGAACTTCCTGGCTCACAAATCATTCTTTATTCTCAATTATTCTTTCAACATGAACCATCCACATTTACAGAACCCATGGCTAGCAGATTTAGACCACCCATTGCCTGATCTTCTCCGTATTTAACAACATGTAAGGGCTGCTGTGTGTGTGTGTACGTGTGTGTGTACGTGTGTGTGTACGTGTGTGTGTACGTGTGTGTGTGTGTGTGTGTGTGTGTGTGTGTGTGTGTGTGTGTGTGTGTGTGTGTGTGTGTGTGTGTGTGTGTGTATGTGTGTGTGTTTGTATACATAATTACTTATATACATATATACATATATATGTGTATGTATATATATATACATATATATGTGTATGTATATATATATATATATATATATATATATATATATATATATATATATATATATATATACATATAAAAGTACATATATAAACATATACATATATACATATATAAATATATATAAATATACACACATATATATAATATATATATATATATATATATATATATATATATATATATATATATATATTATATCTATATATTATATCTATATATTATATCTATATATTATATATATATATATATCTACTATATATATATATACATTATATATATATATATATATATATATATATATATATATATATATATATATATATATAATTTCTACATACATTCATACATGCACACACACACACACATAAACGCATACACACATGTGATATATATATATATATATATATATATATATATATATATATATATATATATATATATATATATATGATATTATATATAATAAATATATATTATAACATATAATATAATATTCTATAATTTATATAATTTATATATATAATATATATATATATACATATATATATATATATATATATATATATATATATATATATATATATATATATATGTATATATATATATAATGTATATATAATATATATATATATATTTTTTTTTCTTTATATATATATATATATATATTTGTACTTATATATCATATATTATATATCTTATATACAATATATATTATATATATAAATTATGTATCATACATTATATATATATAATACATACATTATATATCATACGTACATTATATATCATATATACCTTATATATATATATATATATATATATATATATATATATATATATATATATACTCACACATACATAAGTGTGTGTGTGTGTGTGTGTGTGTGTGTGTGTGTGTGTGTGTGTGTGTGTGTGTGTGTGTGTGTGTGTGTGTGTAATTATAGGTATTTTCCATTCGTTTTACTTCCCCACCTACGTCTCAAGTTGCATTGGTGATCAGAAAGTGAATTCATCGCCAACGTCCTTAGTATTAATCCAATCTTTAAAAAATATTATGTATTTGACACCAAACACAGTATTCGTTTCACTGTGTGTGTTTGTATATAGACTAAAGGAAATGAATCATATATGACTCGTTTTCTAGGGATTTCTAGGTCTAAAAATTCAAGACCTGAAGCCCGCGCTGTCGTCACCGCTGTGGCTTCCGGTGCGCTGAAGGGAAGTCAATATGAATTTTCTTTATAAATAGATACATAAACTTTATAAAGCGAGAGACAGAAAAAAGTCACTAATGGTGATAAAAATACAGCATATAAAGTGGAAATGGATAAGTAAGCAAGTTAAACCAACCTAGGCCCACCGAGCGTACAACACGCACGCACGTAACAAAGTAAGAGCAAGATAATCAGAGGACAGAGTGAAGGCAGGCAAGCAGGTCCAAAACACAACAGCAGAGGAAGCAAATCTCGAGGATATAGCACCTATGCCCCTCACTTCCTAATCTGCTTTCTCTCTCGCCCTCTTTCTTCCCTTCTCTCCTTTTCTACCCCCCTTCTCTTCATTTTTCCCTTCTCTTTTCTGTTTTTTGATAACGATTCCTTTTAGACAAAGCCTAATTAGCTTCTGCCTAACTTTCCTGTTGATAATAGGACTGTGTATCTTGGCTTTACCTGTAGAAATACCAAGCGCAATTCATTTTATAGAGCAGCGTTGATTTCTTTGGGTGTGAATTAGTATGTAGTCTGCATAGCCAATAGCGTTATGTATTTTCCTTTTAAATCTCTGAATAATGTTATCCATCAAAATACTTAATAACAGTGGCGAAAGACTAAGCCTTGCGGTGCCCCTAACAGCGTTACTTTCAATTCACTTTGACAATGAAAAAAAAAGTTTTTTGTTTTGTTTTTGAAGCATGCACTGATCCACCTCAAAAGTACTCTCACACAAAGTTTCGATAATGCATATAATATGATTTGTCTATTTGCTATATCGACTGCAGGCTTTAGCTCCTCGAGAAAGTCTATGCCATTTCCCACACATTCCCTTGTGGTAATTCCACAGAGGTTTGGTGTCAAGTTTTCAGTTCTGTTCGCCAATCCATTCAGAATAACTATCTCAAAGATTTTACAAAGGAAGCTGGTTTAGGAATTGGCCATATATTACCCTGGAGTATTATTTGCATTAAGTGATAAAATATTGAGCTTTGATGCCCGACATTGTGGCAGCAAACGTTTCTCATGTCCTGCACTAACGTGAAACAGGATGAACTGGGACTTTCCCGTGCAATCTGAGTACATCAATTATGTGGTGACGTCTTCACTATATGCTCTTACCAAACTCTACATCAGATACTGAGACATGGCAAATATCACTTTGCTCAGTCATTAAACTGATTAGATTAACTCTGTAACGGTAAAATTCATCATGACAAGAATAGATTCATTAAAGAATCTAGAAATGTTGGCATATTTTCAGAGTTCATCCAACGTTAAACTTAACGTTTTTCAACTATATATTTTATTTATTCCTTATATCGCATTTTCTAAAGGCGTATAAGCGTTTATTGTATTAAAAGAGGCTTCCCATTTCCCGATATATGTAAATTCTGTCTCTAAAGACTTGCAAACCAATTGATATTTACTTTCTTATTTTTTCTAAGTCCTTTTAGGCGGAGTTTATATATTGCATCAAGAGAGCTGCATTTCTTTTTTCTTGCCACACGCCTTTCCTATGGACATGGACATGGCGAGGGCGTCATCAGAGATACGGCCGAATCACCTTATCGCGTGCGTCGAGATCGAGGCACTCGAAGCCACGTCAGCGACAGCATATTTTTTCGTGCGAAAGCAGTTGTGTAAGCATGCGTACATTCTTAACATATGCATGTACGTGTGTACATCCTTCAATATATGCACTGGGATGTGTACGTGAAAAATATATTCGCATGTGGGATTCCGTCTTCGTCTCTGTCTCTGTCTCTCTCTCTATCTGTGTGTGTGAGTGTGAGTGTGTGTGTGAGTGTGTGTGTGAGTGTGAGTGTGTGTGTGTGTGTGTGTGTGTGCGCGCGTGTGTATATACTTCATTCCTTCTGATAAACAAATAGAGATAGATAAATATATAGATAAAAAGATAGACAGGCAGAACGATAGATAGACTTAATAATTTAGTTAGTTTAGTTTGATTCAATTTGTTACAATGGATATTCTTGGTGTGACATACTGTCTGTTTTATTTTGCTTCTAAATTATCCCCTGTGTGCAAGGAATGGCCGGGGTTACCATCCACTGGTGGCGAGGGATTCGAACGCAGGTCAGCAAGATTGCTAGACGAGATCGCTACCGCTGCACCACACAGCACACAGACATATATGACTGACTGCAAATCCCACACAGTGTCGCAAACACATGTGCGTCTTCTTCAGTAAAGCCACTAACGAGGAAACGCGAAGGAGCCAAAGACACTGCTTAGGACACCTGAGCAACCCCGAGGTACGATGAACGCCTCTAACCTAACGTATCTCCCCTAGTAATTACTAAGGGAGTCCAAGCCCTCACCCTATATGTCTACCTATCATTATCCCACAAATACAAATATACACATACACACACACACACACAAACATTTTTTTAGCCTTCCCACTGTCCTTCACAGCAAAAAATAAACATCATCTCGGCCTCGCATTCCGACCCAAAACGTTCAACCGTCTCCAGCCTGACTACGCTCGTTCGCGCCAGCGTCCCGAAGGGGGTTTACCTTCACGATTGCATCATGCTTTGAAATTTGTTTAAATGGATCAAAATAACGATGCCTTTTATATCTAAATAATGTTCTATAGAGATGCACTTAAGATAGGTACTGCTGCAGTAACACCCAATTGGTCTTTGTATTATATTTTCATTTCAAAATTTTCAGTCTAATAGTATCTGGCAGCGATGCCTCAGGCCGACGTATATAAAGGCGCCGGTCTCCTCTTCAGTTCTACTCGGAGCTAAACTGCCTAATATCGTGGTCGTGTTGTCGATGCAAGAGATTCTTCAACTGCAATTAACCAGTTTGAAAATCCCTTTACACTGGCGTGTCCAACGGTAAGTTTGTGCCAGTGACGATCTTGTAAAAACCTACTTAACGCATTTTTGCATTGCTTTCTCGGCTCGACACTCAATCTGCAATCTGTTTTACCTGGGAAAGCTTCACATCCTAATATCGCCGACATTAAAGTTCAGTTATTTATATAATGGTATTCAGATGTTTAAAGACAACATTCACACGGCGCCTATGGAAGCTTACCTGGCTGCCGTGACGTCATGTCAGTCTGACGTCACGAAGTTCCACAATTACTTTCCCATTCGTCGGACAAAAATAGCCACAGACTTTAAATAATCCCCATAAATTATCTAAGTCACCATATGGGAATATCTGCAAACAAAGAAGAACCTGCACAGTTTGCTGTGTTCCTAAGGTGTTTGCTGAAAGACTATATTTCGAGTTGAGGAGAAACCCAAAGCATAGAGCCCTCGGAAGCATACTGACATGTCTTATTTTCCCCCGAAGGCCCGCCATGAGACGCGCACAGGATATCGGTGGACGAGCTCTGCAGGAGAAACGGCAGGAGCGAGAGAAGAAGCGATTTCGTCATCGGAGGAACGAGAGATTCGTCGAGTTGAAAGGTAAAGAGGAAATTCCATGTGTCTGTGTGAATATATCTATATATACACAATATATATATATACACAATATATATATTATATATATATATATATATATATATATATATATATATATATATACATTTATTTATATATATTTATACACTATATATACACATGTACACTATATATACATATGTATACAATATATATCAACACACATACACACACATTGATAGATGAACAGATATAGTGTTACAGAAATAGATTTATACACGCACAGGTGTACATATGGGTCGTTAGATTGCCATGGAAATGAGTTAAAGGTAAACCGCATCAGTTCCTCATCATGCTAATCCTCCAACCTCGCCCGCAGGTGTTTCAGTGGAGATGCCGACTCTCTACATCGGTGGAGGGCGACAATGGGGGCGTGGAAGCTGCCCCTCCTTGTCACTTCCTGACAAGGAGGGGCTCCTAGGAGGCCGCCACAATGCATGGGCCTCCGGAGATGCACCGCAGCCACCACCGAACAACACCAACACGCCGGCTGCCCCTCAAGTCACAGGTCAGTATCCCTTTAGGCGTGACCGTCCTGGCGCGCTTCTGCAAAAGCCAACAGAACGCACGCACCTGTGCTGCGTCTGCCATGCCATGCGCACCTCTCGTCTGAGGCCCAACCGTGATCTAACGTTTCTCCTCCTCATTTCTCAGACAGACGACTGTCCGGGGACATCGCCAAGGCTGATCAGCTCGACGTCCAGGCTCGCACCAAGCAGTCCTGGAGGGGACGGACGCATCAGGTCCCGATCTAACGCCTCGTGACTCCTCGACCCGTCAGCGAGAGAAATCCGAGACGCGACCTTGGATAGGCAGGTCCATAGGACATGGACGCTTACATCAGAACCTGCATGAATAGTCTCCTGCAGGATTGGCAGGACGGTAAAGGTCCTCGTATAACGGACAATACCGACCCGACCTGTGCTCAGAAAATCCAATACGAGACATTGGAAAACAGGTCCTTCGAAACGGACGATTACACTTGGACCCGTCGACAAGCGCCACGGAGGCGCCCTCAACAGCAACAGCTCCTCGCGCGACGCCCACCCGCCTCGCAGAACCCGCTCCAAATGCCAAGATGCGACTTTGGCATGTGGTTCGACCAGAGGCGTGGCCACGGCGCCGCAGGGGACACGGAGGGCGACCTCGGCCAACTTGAAAGGCGCAAGTGTGGTCTTGGCAACCGACTGATCACCCTTGAGGATCCCAAGACAGCGAACGTCGCTAGCATGCGCTGACAAGTGCGCTCGCTTGAGCTGCGGTAAATAAGTCCAAGTGGCGGCTCTACAGCGGAAGGCGTGTCAACAACTTCCGATGCTAGACAGCACGCAGGCCACCTCTCTTTAGGGAAGAATCCATCCACGGAAGAAACCGCGGAGATGGAACAACAGAGAGAGTGCAAAGAGAACAGAAGAGTAGAAAGGGGACAGGCAGAGAACGGAAGGCACAAGTCTCTGCACAAACGTCCCCACAAGAGGCGTGCAAAGCCTCCAGAGGGTCAAGTCATCCTCTAACCCCAGAATTCGAGTCCCAACTCTCGAGATCGCACTCGGGCGAGAGGGGGAGGGGAGGGAAAGCAAATAAACTCTCGAGGCTCAACACATGTTTCCTTGACCTTGTTTTTTTTCTTGCGCTGTCAAGTCGCATTTATATGTTTTGTCACTATATATGAGCAAAGAAACTCATTTAAAGAAATAAAAATGCATATATATATATATATATATATATATATATATATATATATATATATATATATATATATATATATATATATATAAACATGTATATGTGCACATATACATACGAACAAAACCGTAATTCAGTGACTGATTCTTATCTATATATATATATATACATTTTTTTGTGTGTGCCACAATGAACTATATTTGACCTAAAGAAAAGTATACACGCATAATATACATATGTGTGCGTGTGTGTACTCTCTCTCTCTCTCTCTCTCATACATACACACATATACATAAGGCCACCCATCAGTCGATGTCCACTATGGCATTATTGTCTCTACTCTCTCTAGTCAGTGCCTTGGCGGAAGAAGGTGAGGAGCAAGCTGTTGCCCATGCAGCAGGCTCCCTCTCTCCACGCAGCTGATGGATCCAAAGGACGACAAAGACCGATTCAGTTTGGCACCAGCGGCGTCGTAGGAGTTGCCAGAACGAGTCACAAACGACAACGAACTGCCTTCGGGACTCCGGCTCCGGATTTATGTGTGTGTATGTACAGCTATATGTAGTTAGGTGTAAGAGTACGAGATGTATGTGAATGTTCCCGTACTTGTACATGAGGGTATACATGTGTATATATATATAGAGAGAGATATGTATATTTGTGCATATGTGTATATATATGTATGTGAGTGTATGTGCATGTGTATGTATATGTATATGAGTAGGTGTGTGTATATATGCGTTCATGTGTATAAGTATATGTATATAGATATAAATATATGTATATGTATATGTGTGTACATGTGTATGTATATGGGTATGTATATATGTATGCACGTTTGTATGTATATGTATGTGTATGTGTATGTGTATGTGTGTGTGTGTGTGTGTGTGTGTGTGTGTGTGTGTGTGTGTGTGTGTGTGTGTGTGGGAATGTGTGTGTGTGTGTGTGTGTGTGTGTGTGTGTGTGTGTGTGTGTGTGTGTGTGTGTGTGTGTGTGTGTGTGTTTGTGCGTATACGGGTGTATACATATATTTGTGGGTGAACACTAACGTGTATTCATAAATGCATGTGCACATACACGTGTGCGAAAGCAAATGTATGGCAATATATATGCGTGTATGTATAGTCATAAGTACGTGTATAAGATGTACGCATGTGTGTGTTCGCATATATGTGGGTGCGTATACATATATGCATGTGCATATGTCTATATAGGTGTATGTATGGACATGTGTAGTTGTGTATAATGTAGGAGTATGTATGCATATCATATGCATAGGATCATATGTAAAGGTGTATGCTTGCATGTGCATGTGCACGAAAATGAACTTATGCGTAGAACTTGGGGCATGTGCGGGTGAACAACTATGTCTGCACTAGGTGTACATACGCATAAATGAAATCAGTGTATAAAATATAATCACACATATATGCACTTCTGACACTCAAGCCCATGCTCACGGGAGTATACCCTGGTGTAGTAAGCAGGTCCGTGCGTTGCTGCTCATAAGTCCACACTAGACAGGACCAACGCTGCTGGAGGGCTTATCAGTGGCATCCCGGCTAAAATACTCCCCCTCCCACCAAGATATACCTAAGCCAATAGGTGGGGGTAACTCGGCGGCGAAGGAACCCCTTGTCACGGCGACGATCAGGATCGTTCCAGAGCAGAGGGTGCGGTGCTAAAAATCTCCAGTTAAAGACGGGTCGCCCCGCGTTAATGATCCTTTGCACATACAGAATAAGGACTGTGAGAACTGAATCGACTTACTAGCATTACTTGAGGAACTCTCTTTCATTAAATGGGATGTTGTAGGAAGTTAGAAGACTAGGCGAAGAGCAGAAGATACTAAATGATAGACACGTGCTTTTTTGGAGTGGTAAACTCCAGGGTAACAAGGCGGAATTAGGGGTAGGTTTCTTAGTTCACAAACGCTTAGAAAAGAATGTGGAATTCTATAGTATAAGCGAAAGAGTGGCTTCAATAACAATAAAACTAAACAATAGGTACAACTTAAAGACTATTCAAGCTATGCTCCAACCTGCAACCACAATGATGAAGAAATAGAGAGCTTCTATGAAGATATTCATTTAGTCAGCGAGAGTGTAAAAACCCGTTTCACAATAATTATGGGAAATTTTAATGGCAAAATAGGTAAAAAGACAGGAGACACCATTTAGTATTAACATCTAAAACATATATTCACTTCTCAGCGACGAAGATCTCAACACTGACCAAATAAAAAAAACAGTTCAATGACATAACAAAGAAAGCTGCACTTGAAGTAGGCGGTAAGAACGTCAAGCACAGCTCCAACAAGCTCTCGATAGAAACTAAACAGCTTATGCAAAAACGTAGGGTCATGCAAATATCGCCAAACAGGGACAAAAAAGAATTAGCTGAACTAACA